TAAATAGTCTCTATCATTTAAAATTCTCGAGTTTGGCTTTTACGTATTGGAAATTCTCAATTACTTTTTCATAAAAGTTGAATAATTATAAATTTTTCATAAAAAGTTTGATGTATGGTTAAATTGTTGTTTTAATTATATATATTTCATACTTGGATATGCTACCTCATATGTGTTGTCCTTAAATTTTGACTGTCTAGTTCCAACAGTTTAAGAAATATTTAATAGGTCCATGAACTTAATGCATAAGTATATGCTAATTGTGTTATTTAAAGATGATATGACGAGCTTATTTTGTATAGATACATACTTGATGGTGTAAAAGTTAAATTAATGACACTAACATATTAGACACCTAATGAAAGTTTAAAGTCAAAATAGACACAATCAAGTTAGGAACTTATAAGTCAAAACGAGCATAACTCAACGATGATTGACATATATCTTCAATTAAGAGGTTGTAAGTTTGATTTCCGACCATACATGTTAGTACTAAAAAAAAGTTAGCAACCTATCAGAAAACTTTTAAATATCTATCCAACTCTAAAATTTAAAAGGTAAAAATTATAACTTAACCAAAATTTATTTACGTAATAACAGATTTAAGTTATATTGTCCAATGGCTCTTCAATTGGGAACCTTTTCAAATATTCTTATAGATTATTCAAATCACGAGTCATGGACAATTGGAAAAAACAAATATTTTTAAATATATATTTTATAAAAACGTATTATAAATTTGTTGTCTTTAGAATTGCTTGAATAAATGAATGAGTTACGTTTTATTTATTTTGATTAAATATCACTTTATTGTGGAAGAGACCCTGAAGTTGACTTCCATTTTGCCAACGGGTTCGACCACTTTCCATTTTTCTTATAAAATTCGAAAAGAGAGACAAAATTTCACTTAGATATCTAAAATAATTCGATAGACTTTGTACAAGAAAAGTATTAGTCTTCCTAATAAGAATTAAATAATGGAAGTTAACATATCCAACTTAGCTTTTATAATTTATAGTATTTATATGTTTCTAAATCCATAAATTGTATCACTATCTTTTTTTTTTTAACGCATAATTCAACTGATTAAATAAATTAATACGATGTCCTGATATATTCAAATAAAGTCAAATTAACACATTCAACAAACTGCAACCCAAAGCAAACCATATGCTCCAACAAGACAAATAGTATATCAAATTACAATTGCTGATAATTTTCTCCAACAACAGTAAATAAACCATCAAAATTAAGGGATAAATAGAATGGTGTAAAAATAAGTACTTATTTACAATAGAGAGAATATCAGTAATTTATTATTTAGCTCACAACCTCTTCATTTGAAGTATATGTCAATTACATGCTCGCTTTGACCTCACTTTCTTTATATTATTCTTTACCTTTCCTTAAAATTTTAGGAAAATTGGCATTTTTTAGTACTTCAATTCTTTTTTCAAACAACTTGTATTCATGACTCCTCTACCTCTTTTTTAAGTACATCTTTGTCCTTATGGTATAAATTCTTACCAACCACACAAATCATGTAAATTTAAATGCATAAATTTTGGACATCCTTTTGTATTCTTTTAATTTTATTTTATTCATAATTTTCTATAGTAAATTTAAGAACGATCCATAAATTTTAATCACTATCAAACCATTTTGGTTAAATAGCACTTTTGGTCTCTATATTTTAGTTGAAATAACGATTTAATCTCTTAACTTTTAGAAGTAACAATTTAAACTTTACACTTTTAAATTGGTAATAATTTAATCCCTAAAATCGTTAGTTTAATGAAAGTATAGAGCCAAATATATTTTTTATTCGAACCTTTTTAATAAAGGGATGAAATTAAAATTTGGGATTTGAACAAATTTTGGGCATAAATCTAGATTCCTATTTTGAATGGCCTTGTCTTGTTCGCCATTCCTCAATTAGCTTCGTCATTCTCTATTCCTTCATCTTCTTATCTCCACCGCGACACTATCTTCTTGATTTTCATCCTTTGCCTTCATCTTCATTATGTGCAATGGAGTTTGTTCAGCTGAGCCACGATTGTTGAAATTTAAAAAAAGAATTGAGATTGTGCTCAAATCAAAGGGACAAAATCAAATGTTATTGTTTCTTTGTTCAATTTCAGCTTGTCGAAATTTTGGACAATCCACGATCGGGATAGCATTTGTATACCATACCGGTTCAGAATCTTGGTTCAATTTTCTTTTATTAGATTTACTAAAAAAAAAATCTTTTATTAGATTTTTTGATGGAAAAATGTAGAAAACAATTTTTAAAATGCAAAAGTATAATTATAAATTTATAATATGGTTTATGATTATCTCATTATGAGAAAATGAATTAAGAATATAAGAAAAAAATAATGAAGAAGAAAAAGAAAAAGTCTACATTATATTACTTAGAAAGCAAAGTGGAGTGGAACATCATCGCTTCTCGAGCAAGGATGAGAGTAACACACGCGCTCCGGGAGCGCGTGGTGCACGCCACTGCATTGCTTTCTCTAGACATCTAAAACGATATGCATGACAAATCATAATTCATATATTCACACTCACACACACATATCCTCGAAATTATTTATATATATTTTTTAATGTTTTAGAGAGAGAGAGCACAGACGAAACCGGAGAGAGGAGAGAGAAAAGCAGAGTTTAAAAGAAATTTCTGACTTTGCCTTTTTACTTAATTTGCCAGCTCCATAGTTTAGGGTGTTCAGGGATTGAGCTTGAATTGAATTGAGTTGAATTCAGAGTTCTCATTGTGTTTCAATTTGTTAAATGTAAGTTTTTCGTGTTCCACTTCTCTTGCTTAACTCAATGAATCCCAGTTCATTTCTAGCTTCATTTTGCTGCTTAAATGGTTAATATATGTAATTAAGAACTCCGGCTTTTAGAAAGTTACTTCCAGGCTTTTTTTTTCCCCTCTTTGTAGTTCGCTTTCCAATGTGAATTTTGTTCTGCATTTTCCTAAGTTTCATGCTTCTCCAACTTCACAGCAAGTTTATATCTCTCTTTCTGGAAACCATTATAATAGATTCAGATTTGAATCGTTTTTTCTAGTTCTTGAACTTTGTACCTACGGCTCGGTCTGTTCAACTCCTGACTTGGGTTTTCTTGGTATTGAGTTTAATCTTTGTTCTGTGGAATGTTGAGCTTGAATTCGGTCGGTTGATGCGGATTTTATTGTGCTCTTTGTGGTCGGTGCTGTCAGGTTGGAGGATGCTTGCGAGGATTGAGTTTTTTCAGTAAGAAGAAATAAAGGTGGGTTTTACATCAATGGGTTGGAAGAGATCTTCGAGTAATGGCAATTTGAGGATCTGCGTCCAGATTTTAGTCGGATTCGTGATCTGCGCAGCCCAAGTTATTTTTGGAGTAACGAATCCAGGCGATTGTAAGGCTTCGTTTTAATTTTAATGCTTTGCTTTTAGTTTTGCCATATACTCATTCAGTCATTTGGATGCTAAGAAAATGCGGGAAAAAAAAAGTGAATCAGAGGTGTGATTTATATGTTCTGTATCATCTTTTTGCCACATTACTAAATCTCTTTGAGTTTATCCACTGCCACTGATTGTCATGCTGCGGGACTGTGCCAAAATCGAGTTTAGTAGAGAGCTGCTCGCTTTCTCTGTATTGCCGTCAATGTCATATCATGTTGCCATCCTATTAGGTCTTCCTTAAGGGAAAAAAAAAGGAGAAGAGAAAGAAGGAAAGAAGCCTTGTGTCATTGTTTTACTCGAACAGAACTTCTTGGTTTTAGCTCAATTGCGATCTTTTTCTTTTATTCGTTCCAGAGTTGGTGGTCTCTACCGTTATACTATTTTAATGTTTTTTTTTTGCGCATTTAATTACTGATGTTTCAACAATAGAATACATCTCTATGGCTGATCATCTGCATTATTTTATGTTGATAGTTGCTGCCATTAGCAGCTTACATACCTCACTGGGACTCCCCATTCTTCCTGGATGGGGCACTGGGCAAGACCCATGTGGAGATGCATGGCAGGGTGTCGTATGTAATGATTCAAGCATCATTAAAATGTATGTTAATTTCCTTTCTGTAATGTTTTATTGTGTAATTCTCAATTAACTGACAGCTTTCTGATATAGAATTCTTAATGCTGCTAATTTGGGAGGTGAACTGGGTGACAGCTTGGGATTGTTTTCTTCCATCCAAATAATGTAAGTGATTGTTTATGTCTCTGCGTATGAAGGTATTAATTACCATTGATGGTGGCTGCATTCTCGATTGAAATATCCCCTTTCCAATTGACTTATTTTCTCACATAATAAGTCATGACATGCTAGAGCTGGCAGTACTTGTGTTTTTCTATCATCTAGCTACATTGCTAAATGACTGTAAGTTGATCAAATTTTGCTGCTCTTTCTTTTTCTTTTGGGTATCTATATAAAGTCAATAAGTTGTTCGGAAAGGGTACAGGCTTAGTTCTTGACATTTGTACAAGGAAGGGAGAAATTCAATATCTCCATTCAAAAACTATTTATAAAATATCTCCATTCAAAGACTATTTATAAAATCATCTGGTACTTTTCTTTCTCTTTCTATGTTAGTTGCTGACACTTATAATGTGACTGATGCTTGTGGCAGTGATTTAAGCAACAATCATATAGGGGGAAGTATTCCATCCAATGTACCCGTCACAATGCAGAACATGTATGTTCTGCTATTCTCTAATGCTAATTGATTTGTTATTTTCCTTGTGGATGGCATGGAAATTTTTTGATAAACTTTACCTTTCTCAGTTTTCTTTCAGCTAATCAGTTCTCTGGAAGCATTCCGAGTTCATTATCATCTTTGGTTCAGCTGACAGCCATGTAAGCCACTGTTCTCTGTTTTTGTTTTTTGTTTGTTTTATTAATATTTTATTATTTTATCACTTATGCCTAATGGGATCACTGCCTTCAGCTTATGAAATTTGAATTTATCCTGAGATTTTGATTTTTATACCTTTATAGGTCGTTGAATGATAACAAATTAAGTGGTCAAATACCCGATTCCTTTCAAGCTATTACCGGATTGGTCAATCTGTATGTCCCATCTCCTAGTGCTTTGTGTTTATGCTTTAGTCCTTGGTCTGATGACTGAAGCCTAATTTCTGTAGGGATTTATCCAATAACAACTTGAGTGGGCCACTGCCCCCTTCCGTTGAAAACTTATTGGCATTGACCACCCTGTGAGTATTTTGTTGCTCTGGACCCATCCAAACTAGATATTTTCATACATGCACTAATTATTTTTAGTTTGCAGACACTTGCAGAATAATCAACTATCAGGGACCCTTGATGTTTTACAAGACCTTCCACTGAAAGACCTGTACTTGTCTCCACTATTTTTTCATTCAGTTTTCACATAGCCATCAGATTCAACTCAATAGATAGTTTTGGGAACTCGCAAAACTTTGCCTGGTGCATGCTATCTTTTGCTTACTTCCTAAATATTTATTTCCTTATGTTGAGCAGGAATATAGAGAACAACCTTTTTTCTGGACCCATACCTGAGAAGTTGCTGAGTATCCCTACTTTTAGGTGAGAGGGAGGAGATGCTATTTCTCTTTTGTTGCATGTTTTGAACTGGACTATTTTAGACATAAGACCTAAGTGTGTACCTATTGCTTCAACTTATAGATATGAATTCCATGGAGAGAGTAAAATCTTGTTAATTGACACGCTTGCCCTGTAAAAATTTTACTGTCTTGATAAATATGACCACTTCTTCATAAGGAAAGAACAAGATAGAGACTTAGAGTAAAGTATTATTAATAGGAGGTGTATTTAATTCTCGAGGATTTGCCTAGTCATTTCAAAAATATATTGCCTTTTGTTCCACAATACTAAAAATAATGTGAATTTTGTCAAGTATTTCACTGAGCTGTTACTTGGAAGTTCTCGTCTAAACTACTTGGGTCTCATTTTGGTATGGATCTCTGTTGCAGAAAGGATGGAAACCCATTTAATTCTTCTGTTTCTCCAACATCTCCGACATCTCCGGCATCTCCTCCTGTATCTCCATCAAAGCCCTCACCAGCACCACCACTTTCTGGGGCACCACCATCGCCACCTTCTCAACAAAAACCTAGGAAACAGGCTGATGGACCATCTGCACCTGAGGAATCCAGTACTGGAAGAAATAAGAAAAGCACTAAAAGGGTTGTTTTGATAACAATTGCAGTGATATTGTCATTCGTAATTTTGGTTTTGGCATGTGTGCTTTTTATGCCAAGGTGCAGAAGGAGGAGAACGGTTGATAGTATTTCCAAGCGACATCAGCGACATCAGATAGGTGCTTATAGGGGTGAGAGAGAGAATGCTGGAAATGATGGATCCATGCACCAAACAATTGATCAGATGCCTAAAGGTAAAAGAACACTTTATGAGGATTAGATCCTAGTTGGCACATTTTTTTTCTAAAAATTTATTCTTAACTATGTACTGAAATGTGAAAAAATTATCAATAGTTCCAAAAGAGGCAGTTGTAAGGCCGAAGCAGGAAAGTCAAACAGAGGCTCAGAAGGTTCCAAAAGCTCATGAAGAGAGAGAAAGAAACAAACTGAGAATGAACGCTATTCCAAAGAAGGATGATCATGAAATAGATATGAGTGCACTTGATGTCTATCTAATGCCTCCTCCACCACCACCTCCTCCTCCCCCTCCACCACCACCTCCCGTTGAAAAGCTCACTGCCGAGCCCATTGTTCCAGCTGATGTTACTCCCATGAAGCCTCCCACCAAACGTAAAATCACCTCAACTTTTGCAAAATCTTACACCATCGCATCCCTCCAGCAATATACAAACAGCTTTTCACAGGAGAATATTCTAGGAGAAGGAATGCTGGGGAGTGTTTATAGAGCACAGCTTCCCAGTGGGAAGGTAAGTTTACTGCCATTAATAACTTCATTTCATAGGAATTTCTTGCTAATTATTTCTGTTGAATGAAAACGTTTTTAGCAGTTCATTTTCTGCAACATATTGTGTTTTATCCTTCCTGTGTCTCATCATTTTACTGGGTGTTATCTGGTGGTCAACATATGAAGTCATATTTAGTAAGAACTGCAGTTATTAATTATTATTACCAACCATGCTCAGATTTAAGGGATAATATTTATTATTTAGTTTGAGTTGGACTAGAATGGAAAGAAGTGTATAATGTGTTGATCAGTTTTATTTGACAACCTATGTAGCCGCTTAATTTAGCTTTTTAGTAGTTCTTGACTATAAATTTTGTGCAGCAAATGAGATCAATCAGCACATTCATATTTCCAAATGCCAAAAAAAGGTCAAGCATATAGATTTTTTCAAGCAAACTAGGATAAAACGGGGAAGGGTTTTGGGGACAGGAGAACTGTCTCTCTATATAATTGGATGTGCAGTTTGATTGTGAAACGACTATTTTATTGCTCCCAATTTAGGAAAACAATTTGATCATCTCAACCTCATTTTCTCCTTACTGGCACATATCATTATGTTGTCTGAGTTTTAATGACTCCATATCTGACATTTAACAATTCTAATGATTTTGTAGCTACTGGCCGTCAAGAAACTGGATAAGAGAGCATTCAGTCAGCAAAAGGATGATGAATTTCTCGAGTTAGTGAATAATATTGATAAAATCCGGCATGCCAATGTGGTTGAGCTCAGTGGTTACTGTGCAGAGCATGGTGAAAGGCTTCTGATCTATGAGTATTGCAGTAATGGAACATTGCAGGATGCACTACACTCAGACGAAGAGTTCAGAAAAAAACTTTCGTGGAATGCTCGCATTAGAATGGCTCTTGGGGCTGCAAGAGCCTTGGAGTAAGTAAACTACTCATATGACCATTTTTTTTATGCAAGTTTGAGCTTTGCTGCTTCTTTTCTTCTCTCCCTAAAAAGCAATTTAGGCCATCAGTTCTGGCTTCCCCGATCTGAAATCTGTAACCTTTTAAGTTACTCAGAATATATTTTGTTGAATTTTCATGATCAAGGTTTGGTATTGAGGTTCTCAGTGTTTATTTTATTGGGAAATGAAATGTTTAAGTAGTTCTTTTGCATTATTAATTGTGTAGTTAAGCTATTAAAGTCTGATGATATAGTCTTATTCTGAGTGTATCCATGCATTTTTGGGCTAGTGCTTAAAGTATCAATTTACCGAAATAGGTATTAATTGGGAATTAGATTTAGTAGCGCCTATCAGTCTCCTATGCTTGCCTTGTTTAAGATGAGGGAAAAATATTAGTTTTATATTATCACAAATTTCTTGGTCTCCTGGCTAATCGCTCACAAATAGCATGGTTTTTTTATTCTTTAGTTTACAAAGTTGTTCACAAACAGAACGTATATTGGGAGTGTGAAAGCTGTAGTTGGGTATTCTCGGATGTTTCAAGCTTTTATTTTCTTCTTAGATCAGTAGAGCATTTTATTAAACCTGCAGTTGTCAATATGTATACAAAGAGGGGCCATAATGTTGCTTCACTCACTAGTAGTTTTTTAAGGGACTCTGGCTTATTCTTTGCATAAGGATCAACAACTCGATAATGACTAGAGCAAGTCAAACCAGGCTGACCTATGCCTTTTCCTCACTGTTAGTGCAATCTCATGACCTGCCCTTTTAGTAGATTGTTACTAGGTATTTCATCCTCATTATGATCCTTCTAAAATATATCATTTTGTTGGATACATCCTCTCACCTTAATAGTCCTATGCCATTAGTCGGTACCTTGGCCTCAATCATGGCAGTATAAAATTGGACGAAAAACCAGATGAAACACTGGTAGAAAGTAAATTGCAAAATGTTTTCAAATAGTCCAACGTTGTAACTTGTACCTTTCCAGCATAAACTATATGTCTGATAGAGGTGTTATTTCTTTGGGTTGGCAATCATGGGAAAGTCCATAAGTTAGAGTTAGAAGAGAGAAAGGGCCTTTTCGAGTAACACGGGGTCAATGTAAGGGAGGTGTTGGGTACTTTTGAAGTAAGTGTAGTTGAGGAAACTAGTTATGATTCTTGAACTGGCTAACGAGTTTCAGGTAGGGAGTTGAATGTGGATCGTTTCATCTGTTTAATAATTCTCAACCGATCAACAAGTCAATATGAAAAATGGTGGTGCAAAGGGAGAAATTTGTGTACTTCCGTATTCATTTGGTTTCTGTCTTATGTTTGAAGGTATCTACATGAGTCCTGTCAGCCACCTGTCATTCATAGGAATTTCAAGTCTGCAAATGTCCTACTTGATGAAGATCTGTCAGTGCGTGTTTCAGATTGTGGTCTCGCTCCATTAATATCAAAAGGAGCTGTTAGTCAGGTAAGCCATAACTTGGTAATTTACTGACATTTACTATTGGACGGCTGTTTCTTCCTTACTTGACGGTAGTAATTCTTGAAAAATATTGCATTTAGCTTGGTGATAGAAAGAAGCAATTTATGAGTTAAAAATAATTTGATTGACTACTTCTTGAATTAATATAATCGTGATATGCTATCTTACCAAAGTGGAATCGCCGCGCTTACCATTGATTATAATGTATAATTGACTCTGTTAAATATTATTTCGTTGACGTTGGTTGGAGGCTTGGAGCTTCAAACAAAAAATAACAAGAATACAAAAAAAAAAAAAAACAAGAACCCTCCTGCAAGGAAATGTGTCCGACTCTTCCTAGTTTTTCAATATTTTAGACTCTATACGTTCACTTTGGTCAAGTAGAAGCTTAAACTATTTTCCCTGTTGCATTTGGCACTTAATTTTCCATACTTCCAGCTATCAGGTCAGCTTCTAACAGCATATGGTTACGGAGCGCCAGAATTTGAGTCGGGAGTTTATACACTTGAGAGTGACGTTTATAGCTTTGGTGTGGTTATGCTGGAACTTCTAACTGGCCGGATGTCTTATGACAGGTAAGTAGTTGAAAGAAAATGATTCATCATTATTTGGGCCATTTCTTGTGTATTCATCAATATTTTCACGATTTTCAATAGAACAAGGACCCGAGGTGAACAATTTTTAGTCAGATGGGCGATTCCACAGCTTCACGACATAGAGGCATTAACGAGCATGGTTGATTCTTCCCTCAATGGTCAATATCCTGCCAAATCCTTATCATACTTCGCGGATATCATATCAAAATGTGTTCAGGTGAGCAGCTTCATGAAATTGGTGGTGGAAATATTGTTCTCGATGGTGCTGATTGATTGTTCATTTACTTCTATTAATTTTTCTAGAAGTATCATGCTGGAAGAGTTGGACTGTACATTTCTTAGTTTCTGATATACATGTTAATAATTCTTCCATCCACCTCAAACGATTAAGGATTGTCTTGACCAAACCTTGTGTACATTTTGCAGTCGGAGCCTGAATTTCGGCCTCCGATGTCATCGGTTGTTCAGGATTTGCTCAACATGATAAGGAGAGAACCCCATGGCAGTGGTTCCAGTGAAGATTGAAACATGGTTTTTGATTAGGGGTAGCCAATCCTTTCAGCTAAGAAGTAAGGAGGTGGTGAAAAATCCGCCACATTGGTTTTAGAAGACGATACGAGGGGCTTCGAGCGAATTCCCATGGTAGCATGCTCAAGTTTAGCATTTCGAGCTCGCAAGCTGGTAGTCATCTTCTTTCTGGTTTATCTAAGAGAACACTACTGTAGCAACAGAGCTCCAATTCTTGAGGTGAATCATTTGTAATCAGTCCATTGTTTATTAAACTAGGAATTGTAATGTGTATTCTGAAGAAATATATGCTAACCCATTATTGGTGTCCTTTCAATTGTTTAGTTACCTTATAATTCTTAATAATGAAAAAAAATATTTCTTATCTGATGTTCATGTGATTCGGTATTCTACAACGTGCAGGCAGGTTTCATAGCCTATACTAAAAAATGTCTTTAATGAGAACCATCAACACTAAATTACTGGCTCCTCTTTGATTGATTGTTTATACAGAATGATAAAATTTTATAGTATTACAGTAAGACTTGGTGAACCAATAATATCAAGATTTTAAATAAGTTAATATCGATAAAATATTGAAGTCGATAGATATTCTAAAAGGGTTAATATATATATATATATATATATATATATATATATATATAACAAATATTTAAATTAACAAATATGCTGTTTATGATTTCCAAATAAGTTAAAAATAATCAATACTGGTATTACATTTATATTAATGATATTTTATTGATGTTTTTCATATTTTGTCGATTTCTTTGCAATACTATAAAAATGTCGATTTATTTCTTATATTGATGTCAAACTTATAGACAGATGGAAATATCGACATATTATCTTAGAGAATGTTTCTTTCTATTTTATGGATTCCATTTCATTAGAAATGTTCTTGACATGGCAATAATGAATGAAATGGAAGTAATATAAAAATTGCAGTACAGTAAATAGATTTTAGAAAAATTAGTAGTTATATCAAGGCTGGATAACCTCAACGTTAATCTCGTCTTAAAATTTTGTTTAAAAAAAGAAGATAAAATACTAAAATAGAAAAAATATTTCAATAAAAAATGATAGATACTTCAAGAGACTTTAAAAAGGATTTTCTAAGAATATTAATTATATTTTAATGGGGGCGAAATACAGAAATCAACAATATAGGGACATTTTTCGTTGTGGGACCCACTAAATGGCTAATCACTGAGATTAGGCTTTAAAAGGATGTACAATAACATAAACTTTTTGACGCGCCAACATTTTTCGCTTCGGTTTTTGTTGGGATAACAAACGAAAACAAACCACAACGAAACCCAAAAACCAAAATTCCAAACAAACCAAAAGGAAGAAAAAGGGATTTTGGCAGATTCATTCATTCTCCGTTGCCTTCTTCCTCAATCCACATTTCTGTAAGAGGGCTCTGATTTCAACCCATTTCTTATTTAGTTTCTTTTTCGCTTCACACCACGCATTTAGATCTTCCTAATGAGTCGATACGATTCCAATCCTTTCGACGAAGACGTCAATCCCTTTTCTGTAAGTTCTCTGCCTCAACTTCTGTGCTTTCTAACATTCTGGTCACAGATTGGAGTTTCCAATTTATGGTTATCTGCATTTTGGCGATATACGTGATGAATATTTTCATTTTTGTATTTATGGTATCCCCTTTGGTACATTGGACTGGCAGATCTGCAACCGGTCATTCACCTCCGGTCGTTTATAGATGATAAAAAAATTCAACTCCTGCGCTTTGTTGGTTCATTTTCGCCTAGCCTTCCTTCGTTTGAGAGTTTCCATCTTTTAGTGCATGTGCGCTATTTTCTTCTGATCAGACGCTAATGTGGTTATTGTGAAATTTTTGGGTTTCATAACTTCCTGTGACCGTTTTCTGGGAATGGAATTCAAGAGAGCTCGATATGACTGAGAGAATGTTGTTATCTTTTTTAGTTTATTGAATAATCATGGTCTGTTCATGATTTATAATAATAAATATGTGCTTGGCCCTCTTTTTAAAGGAGAGTTTCAGTTTGAGTTCTATGATCATTATCAAAGTTCTTTCGAAACGTTTGCCTTTGCAGCAAATTCAATGTTACCTAGTTTGTTCGTTCTCCAGAAATTTGGAGTAATTTTTGCATGATTTCACAACTGATGTTATTCTTCCTCCACATTTTACTGTTTGCCTTGTATCTAGAATCCTGGAGCTGGAAGTGTTCCACCTGCAAACTCGAGGCTCTCACCTCTTCCCCCTGAAACTTATGATCGTGGTGCAACAATTGACATTCCTCTTGATAATTCAAAGGTGGATTTCATTATTTAAAATGATTCCTTTCCTCAGGGGAAATGGTATCACTTTCTTTACTTTTCCTCTGTATTTTTAGGATTTGAGAGCTAAGGAGAAGGAGCTTCAAGCTAAAGAAGCTGAACTGAAGAAGAGGGAACAGGTAACTCCTTCAGCACGTAGTATATGCATCATAAAGTCATACTCCAAAAGGTTATATTTTATGTCAAGTGCATTTCAATTGTGGGTGTGTCGTAATTGGCTACTTATTGAATGATAATTATCAGTCCACAATTGAAATGAAATAATTATTGGCCATTCTTTCTCATTCAAACATTTGTTTGAAGAATGTACTCTTAATTTTCTCATACCAGTAATAAATTGTTTGAACTCTTATTCTAAATTTCCAGATTGGCATTTCATTGTTGTAAGGCTAATATGACTGAGCTGGTCGTGCTTTAAAGAAAGATTTCTTTATAAATGATTTTGTCCTTTATTGATGCTCAGGAATTGAAACGGAGGGAAGATGCCATTGCACGAGGTATATATAAAATTTTTTGTGCATTAAAAACACAAGCGAATCATAATTCTTCCTTTTCTAACCGAAAGATTTGCAATTAATTTTGGCAGCTGGAATTGTTATAGAGGAGAAAAATTGGCCACCATTTTTCCCCCTTATCCATCATGATATTGCAAATGAAATACCGATCCATCTACAAAACATTCAGTATGTTGCCTTCACAACATTGTTGGGTGAGTGGACGTGATGCCCTGTCATGAAAGCTATATGCTTGTTTGGAAGTGCACATGTTGCTTGCTTACCATGCTAGTTTGGCCAACTCCATATGATAGTCATGTTAAAAGTTGAAAGTTAAATAGAAAATAAACTTTAATCATGATGAAGGTGAGCACCTATGTCATGTTATTGATCAAACCATTTCCCAATATTATGGCTCTATTTATACTGGTTATTATATCTGAATGTTTACTTCTCAATTCTTCACATGGATGCATTTATTCTGTCAGTTTCAGAGTGTGGCATCTAGGATATTATATTTGAGGTTTCTGTTTGACATGTGAGTACTGGGCCATCGAAGTCTATCATCTGAATGAGAGTGCTTACTAATTCCAAGATTTTTTGTTGTTATCAAATTTTAGTGACTAACCTTAATTCACAACTTGCGTTATGATCCTTACAACTACCATTAGACTTGAATTCCTCAAAATGTGTTCTGAAGTCCCTTAACTGGACAGTATGTCTAGCAATTATGTAATGGAAGCAAAATTATTAGTGCTGTTTAAACAGTGTTGATTTATCGATTTTTTAAATTGGTGGGTGAAGGAAGCCTTTTTATGACGAATTATTAATGAATAGGAATACGCTCATGTTGTGGACCTTGTTGATGAAACTGAAAGGCATGTGCTGAGCTTTATCATTCTGCCCCTATTCCACATGATCCTGCAGCACCCCTCACCTCCCCACCATACACCTAAGAAAAAGAAAAAAGGACAAAAAGGGAGATGGGAAATTTCAAATGGATAGCACTTTTCATCTTTCCACGAGTGAATAACTTTTCTATATAATGTGATTTTGCTGCTTAATCTTATGCAATTTCCTTCTGTTTTATATGTATGTTCCGTGTGAATCAGTTTTGATGGTTTGGTGTACTTCATTGTATTAAATTTATTTGTTGTCCAGGTTTGGTTGTGTGCCTTTCGTGGAACTTTGTGGCAGTTACGACTGCTTGGATCAAAGGTGAAGGTAAGTTGATCTCCCTTCTATATATGCCGTTGTCCTTTTAATTATGTTGTCTTACATGATCTGTTACTAATAGTTGTTCTTTGTATAGGTCCAACAATATGGTTTCTTGCTATTATCTACTTCATATCTGGTGTTCCTGGAGCATATGTTGGCTGGTATCGTCCTCTCTATCGGGCTACAAGGTACAACTTTATGGAACTACATCTTTTCTTTCTCCACCATGAAAGAAGAATTCCCCAAATCCCAACCTCAACTGTTAATTGTACTTTCTGGGATTTGTTCATTGGAGACGTTAATATTGTCCATATGAGTCAAGGAAGCTACAGGAACCTATACTATTGATAACTGATAGGAACATATTTTAAGTACTAATGTAGGCCAGAAAGCATGTTGCTTATCTTGGAGAGAAGGGAAGGGACATTTGTTAGTCCAAAGTCATGAGAACTCTATTAGTTAGTTGATGAACGGTAGTATTTAATTAATTCATCTGAGTAAAAGTGTACTTTCAGTCCCTTTAGTTTGATAAGTAGATCGATTTGTGTCTCACATTTGAACACCATGGTTTGGTTCCTGTAGTTCGAAAAATAGTTATAGATGGTTTCCCAACATCACTTTACCACTAGTGTCACTGATCAAAAGATGTGGCAGTTTACGGCTTCTTTTAATTATTATGACTATCACAGGTTGCTTTTTTAGTAGTTTTTTTTTTTTTAAACCCTAAAAAAACTACACAAGAGGTGGCATAGACCCACTGCATTGCAATGGAAGAAACTCGGCAAGATGGGGGAAGCCACCCCGATTCCAGGGTGAGATAGACTTAAGAATCTGATGATCACCAAGAAGCAAACGATTCCCAATAGGATTAAGCTCTTGGGGGAGAGAAACTCAGTCTTTAAACTTATTTTTGCCTCATTTGATTCAAGGTCAACAGAAGTCCTGAAACAAGCATGTTGACAATTCAATGGTTTTTTTTTAATTCATTATATCTGTGAACCATTCATGCTAATAAACCTTCAAGATGCCATTACATAATAAATAATGTCTTCAGTATGGAGATTTTTCATATAAGATACAAACACAAGTTCTCGTGTTACTGATCTGGCAAACTGATTCATAACTTATGTGTGAGCTTTAGCTATTTGGCTCTTGCATTTCAGTGATTTGTATATTGATTTGGTTGGCTTATCCATTATGGCGACACTTATGACAAGTTAGATTATTAACATATACAGGACTGATAGTGCTCTGAAGTTTGGGTGGTTTTTCCTTGTTTACTCGGTAACCACACAACTTCGCATTCCAGTTACTTTTCCAGCCTTGAAGATGTTTTGTTTTTTACCTAAGCTTACAAATTTCTTCTTCCAGATTCATATCGCCTTCTGCATCTTTTCTGCAGTTGCTCCTCCCATTATATTCAAGGGGAAATCTCTTACGTAAGTTTTGATGTCCTCAATATGAAAATAGAGGGTTAAATTCCTGTTGAATAACCAATATTTTCTATTAATTTTCTTAAGAGAAGTTGATAGTTTTTGATATTCTTTACAGAGGGGTCTTACCTGCGATAGACTTGTTGAGTAGTAATGCTTTGGTTGGGGTAAGTCCTACTTGCATTTTCATGTCCACTGTGTATGTTTTGAAATGCCATTCTGCCACACGCCAGTCCATCTGTTATTTGTATGAGCTTAGTAATTTTACTTTCAGTTCGTATACCGACTTCGTTTTGAAGATTTCTTCTAATGACACTTGTCACAGATATTCTATTTCATTGGTTTTGCATTCTTCTGCATTGAATCATTAATCAGCATATGGGTTATCCAGGTCTGTATCTCATAAAGAAATTTAACATCTTTCTGTTCCTTCATTTCTTTCTGATCGTCACTGAAAAACTTCATGGATCCAATTTTCAGCAAGTGTACATGTACTTCCGTGGCAGCGGTAAGGCTGCAGAAATGAAACGTGAAGCCGCCATGGGAACCCTGAGGGCAGCTTTTTGAAATGAACATTCAAACTTGTTTTTACCTGCTGACAAGACTCAAAGATCATCACCATCCCCCACCTGAAAAGAGTGTGTAAGTTCGAGGAAAATCCATCATTTTAGTCACCATCTTTTACATCAACAGTTCTCATATAGTGAGGTTTCTTATAGTGTTACTTCCTTATTAATTGATTAAGTGTTGTCTTAACCAAAAACCAGCGAAAATTTAGTAGCAAATACCACAAATATTTTCAACAGCCTGAATTCTTGTTGATCCCTCCCTGCTTACTCTCATGTAGATCCGTTCACATAATCATTCTGCTGTACTGATATTTTTGTGTCCATCCATGCCATGGCAAGTGGATGTTATTAATGCTGTTTGCTGTTAGTTTGGGATCGAAGATGAAAAAATTTCTAGTACTACTTTCTTGTCGGTCACATCAGCTTTATTTACGAAAGATACAGGGTCCAATCATCATAACGTGGACCGTCATAACGTGAACAAAGGAAGTACATTATATTACAACTAAAAACGTACGGAAAATCAAACCATTGCTGTCTCACTGGTATCTACCAACAGGTTCATTTACACTTAAACTCTCACTACTCATTTTAAAGCAGTAAAAATGGAAATGAGCTTTTGAGACATCATTTTACAGCCAGATTAGGTAAAATAGACATCTGGACGATTAATGGATAGAAAAAACAATACAATTTCCCAACATTTTATTATTATATAAATAGACCGTTGTAAAAATGTATAAGAAACACATGTAACAAATAAACAGGTTAGCTTTTCCAGAGGAAAGAAAAAAAAAATCAAAATAAAAAAAATTCAATTTCTTGATGTCCATTCCGGCAAGTACTTATATCTCCCTCTCTAGTCTAATTGACTGAAAGTGTAACTGATTATCTCCACGGAAAATTCACAAATTTGCTCTCTATAATCCATCAATTGCGTCTTAATAACCTTTTCGACCAGAGTGGCAGATTCTCGACACGTTCTTAGGCTCTTTAGTGCTGTTGTTCTTCATCTTGAAAGAGCAAAAAAGTTAACAGCTGACCTGACACTCGATGCCATGCCATCGGCAGCCTTGAATTAGGGTTTGATATGACGTTTTGGCACTCTAAATCCAGCTCTGGCCAGGCATCTTCTTCACCTGTCTGTTTTTCATCAACTTTCTAATCTTTAACGCGTCATCCCATCGGCCTACTGCTCTATACACATTAGCCAAGAGAACATAACTTAAATGGTGTCGAGGCTCTAGCTCCATCATCTTCTTGGCTATGCGTTCTGCAGTAGCAGAGTTTGTACAGGTAGTGCAAGCTCCTAAAAGAACCTGCCAAAGAGACGAATCATTTCTACAATCTGCATTTTCTATCAAATTTTCAGCTTCTTCTAGCAGCCCAGTACGGCCTAGAAGATCAACCATACAATTATAATGCTCAATTCCTGGTTTAATTCCATATTGCTCTGTCATTAGAGCAAAATAATGTCGCCCTTGATCAACCAATCCTGTGTGACTACAGGCAAAAAGGACACCAATAAAACTGATATAATCGGGCTTGATCCCTTCCTTAATCATCTCTTCAAATATTTGAAGAGCGATCCCACCTTGTCCATTTTGAGCAAACCCACGAATCATCGAATTCCATGTTATCAAATTCTTTGATGGCATCTGCTCAAAGATTCTATATGCAAAATCAATACAACCACATTTCGCGTATAAGTCGACTAGAGCTGATTCTACAATGACATCTCGCCATCCACCCTTTCTCACATACTGACAGTGAACCTCCTTCCCTTGAGTCACAGCTGCTAACCCGGCACACGCGCGAATAACCGTTCCAAAACTATAGAGGTCAACCTCCTCCATTTCCCTGAAAAGATTTATAACCATTTCAAAGTCACCATTTTGGCAATACACTCCAAGCAATGCAGACCATGAAACCGAATTCCTTCTCGACATCCTATCGAATACGAGTTGGGACTTATCAACGGCTCCACATTTTCCATACATATCTACTAGACTGCTCTCAACAACCACATTCCCACCAAGCCCATGTGCAATCACCTTAGCATGGACCTCTTCACCCTGCCTCAACCTCCCTAAATTACCACAGGCAGTCAATACAGTTCCAAATGTAAACCCATCAGGAGACAATCTATAAGTCCTTTGCATCGAATAAAAGAAACCCAATGCTTCCTCATACAAATCATTCCTTGTAAACGCTGAAATGACCGAGGTCCAACATATTGCATCTGGTTCAAGCAATTCATCGAACAGTTGGCGTGCATCGTTTGACGCACAGTTCCTCCCGTACATATCAATCAAAGAACTCACAATGACATGATTTGAATCAAAACCATGCCTAAGAACTAGCCCGTGAAAGCACCGACCAAGCACCAAATTCCCAATCTCAGAGCATGCCTTGATCACAGCCGATATAGTAAAACCATTCGGCTCGATCCCCAAATCCAACATATCCCAAAACAACTCAATCGCATTTCCAGGTTTACCTTCTCGAACATAGCCCGTAATCATTGACGTCCACGACACCACATCCTTGACAAAAAGGCCATCGAACACTCTTCGAGTCAGCAGATAATCTGAACCCAATTTAAAGTAAAGGGAAAGTAAGCTATTTCCGACAAACCTGTCGGTCTCGAGGCCAGATTTAACCACATGGGCATGAATTTGACGGCCATGGCTGAAGGAAGCAACCTTGATGCAGGTTTGTAAGAGGGAAGCATAGAGAATTGGTTTGTTGGTGGCGGTATCGAACAAATCAACGGAGTTTAGGATGTGTAGGGCATCATGGAGCAGGCCTGACCTGCAATGTTGGAGAACTTGAGACCCTTTTGTCGATGCGTAAGTAAAATTTTTGAGATTGTGAAACGTAAAACTACTGCAATGGCGTTTGAAGAAGAGTCTCATTAGACGAAGAGGAGAGGCTGTGATTTGAAAATTTTAGCGGCTTTTAGCAGTTGCTTGCGGTTCGAGATGCCATTGCAGTAATCTTACCTCACACTCTTCAACGAAGCCATGACAAAAATCGATTGCGTCACTCGCGAGACCATAAATTTTGACCAAGAATTTTGAGGTCAAGTGAAACCTTTAGCGCAGCTTTACCATATTTTTTTGTGGGTTTTTTTTTTGGTAACATATATAATTATATTTATTTATTTATTATTTTTTTTAATTACAAATTTACTTCGTCAACCTTTAGAATTACGTGACATGTTGATTGTATTCTTTTCCCCTTCCGGGATGAGGGATCGAACATACCAACTCTTAATTTGAGATATATGTCAATCATCATTAAGCTATATCGCTTTGACGACATGCTGATTGTACGTTGATCTATTAAATAAAACTTATCATATAGGATAAATACATCAAGAAAATAGTAAAATTATAAATTTATTCCTTGAACTTTTTTTACTACTGTGATGAAAAGGATCTTAAAATTTTAAATTTTAAAGTTATATTTAATAGGCCCTGCCTCTTTTAAAGTGGTAACAAAAATAATTTATGTATTTCAAAAAATGTCACCAACTTTTCAAAATTTCAAATATAACAAAATTTTTGAATTTTTATTTTCGAAAATTTTATTATTCCGATTTTACCTCTATGATATCTGATTCTGATATACATCTAATGTATATTTGTATCTGATATATATCCAATGTATATATGTATCTGATATATATTCAATCTATATCTAATATAGTACATTTGATGTAGCTCTGATATACTTTCGATATACATCCGATGTACTCTTGACGTGCATGATCCACATAAATATTTTATACAATAGTTTTATATTTCAAATTTTTTTGCACTATCGTTTTCATATAAAAAAAATAGTGGATATAATAGTATTATATCAACACACATGTATCATAGTTATATTAGTAGATATCATGGTTACATAAGAGGTATATCAATAATAAATTAGAAGCATATTAAGTATATATCAAATATATATCAGTATTATATTAGTGGTAAATCATATATAAGAAGTTATATCAATAGAAATCATAGTTATATCAATAGTATATCATTTGTATATCAATGGTAAATTAGAGACATATCAAGTATATATAATAGATTTATAAATGTTGTATCAGCATGGTAAATCAATGGTTGTCATACGTATATAAGTAGTAATCCAAATTAGAAGTTCAGTAGATATCATAGTTATATGATAATAAATCAATTGTATATCCTTATTATATCAATGGTATATCAGACATATATCACTAGTCAGTTATGTTGAGATAGGTAAAATTGGACCTCCGTTTTTTGTTGAAAAAAATACTATATTTGAAAAAACTAGATGTGGTTGCTATTTTGCTTATTTTACTAAATATTTTTGTCATATTTGCAATTGTCCATTTTTTTCCTAAAACACTTAACAACATGAATCTATTTGACATAAAATTAAAATTCAGGATCGATTTTATACTTTTTAATGGTTTGAGATCTACTAGACACAAAATTGAAAGTTCATCAATTTGTTTTAAACATTTAAAATAAATGTATAATATGTTAACTAGTTTAGTTGGGATAGTAAAAATTCAATAACCTATTCAATAAAACTTTGAAAGTTTAGTAACTTATTATAAACTTTTTAAAATATATAAAGACCTATTAAATACAATTATAAAAGTTTAAGACCCAACTTGTGATTTAAAAAAGTTTATCAGATAAGAAATATTAAAAAAAAAAAAACTTAGTAGATAAGGAATTTGTCTCCCTCAACCGTCACTAGCACCGATTGTCCCCTCCAACAGTCTGCCCATTGCTAGTCCATTCCTACGACATAAATTGTTCCTATCCTATCAAGAATGACCACATTCATGAAAATGATCTTGAATTGCAAAATATAATGCTTAGATTTTGTTTCAATTTCATCCAAAATATTTTTAAATTGATTTTTCTTTTGTCCTTATAAAAAGTTTGGATTTTATTTTTACTTCGACCTTCAAATTTGAAAAGTGACATTTTTGGTTTATAAAGTTTTAATTTAATTTTTTTTTTGGATTATGAATTTTCAAAAGTGATGTTGTTGATCTATGAGGCTTCAATTTGAGTCGAGTTAACTTAACAAAAGAATAACAGGTAGATAATATATTGACATGTAATAATATTGATTTTTGCCTCTCTCAATCCTATCGAAGATATTCCAAAAGAAGTCAATAGTCATAGGGGGCCAATCAAGACCCCCTAATAAAGCTTTTTCGATAAAGTAAACGATTCGTTCCGACAACTTTGGACCAAATTAACTCCTTTGCATTAGCTGATCTTACAAAATCAATAGGGCGGACTAGTTAAGAAGGGGTTATTAGTGGAGAAAAGAATCGCTGAGAGATAGATTCGACTATTTGGTCAGGACGAATGAGTGGTTGTCCAGCATGCTCCGGAGGAGATTGACCCTGAGAGTCAGCCCAGTCAGAAAGGGGAGGGCTCGTTGTCACGATGGGCAGGGCCCGACCTCCACTCTCTTATGCAGCATTTATTAGCTTAGAACGGGACTGTGAAGACTCGCGAAGTAGACAGCAAACAACAGCTTTTCAGCCCCCTAACCTTGTATAGGATTTCCAAGATCTTCAAAGACGGATCTGAAACAGGTTCCACTAAAGGGATGCAATAGCTTCGGTTAGAGCAAAGTCCAAAATGGCATAACCAAATGATTGTTTAGCCAATGATGGATTTCGCGCCACGGAATGGATCAAAGAACTGAACATGTTGTGCTGTAGACGAAGAATCTTTTGTTTCCTCTATAAATTAATTGTCATGTCAATGGTGAACTCAACTTATGGACCAAATAAAAACTAAATCTAAATATCAATAACCAAAAGTATCGCTTATGAAACTTAATAAAAAAGAAACATAAGCTAAATTCAAATCGTTTTGAAATTTAAAAGAAAAAAAAAAAAGAAGAACTAAAAGAAAAAATTCAAGATAATTTTTGTATAAATGGAAGGTTGGTGGATGATGACGACATGAGAGATGAAAAAGATGAGAGCGGTGGAGGGTTTTGAAAATGAAGAAAAATGATTAATTGGGCTGTTTGAAATTTTAAGTTCCATTAATTTTGGTTGAAAATCTAATGGTTTTTAGTGGAGACACGTTTCTACAAATTGATTGTGCTTTGACTTTCTCAATATTTTATATTTCTACAATGTCAAATGTTCCGTTTTCTTTTCCTTCCCAACTAATTTCATACCTTTTATCTAACCATTGTTTATAACATTTGCTAATTTTGTTTATTTTTCAAATTATTTCAACATTCTTTAAGAGATTAGCTTATATATGCCCATACATATTATCAATATCTATTAAATATCCCTAGGCCTTACTTTTTACACACCTATCCCCACAAATTACACATTAATTAAAACCTTCTTATATTGTGTGATTTGGTGGAGCAATTTTTTGTCACCATAACATTTGTATTTAGTCATGTACTTAAAAATTGTTTTAATTATACTTATATATATATATATATATATATATATCTCTCTATTTAATTCTTCTTCCTTTTAATAACATTAAAATATTTGTGTTATTTGGATTTAAACTCTCGGCCTTTAGACATGCTGAGTTATGTTGAGATCATTAAATAAAATATAAATATTAAAATTTTACGTAATAGTACAAAATAGCGTGAAAATTTTGAGGAGTACAAGTTGTGGGAATGCCCATACTATAAATATTGACCAATGAGAAGCCGCCACCCACATGCAGTGCACCTGCGCAGCGGCTCATCCATGATTAATTAATAGCCATTTAAATGTATTCCAGATGTACGGCCACGATTTTATTTCGAATTCCAACATTTACCCTTCAACTGTATTCTAATTCCTAACATGACACGCCTCCTCCAATTAATGCCCACTCCCATCACCCATCCTTCCCAATCTCAATTCGTGTGACTTAACTAACTTCCCTGTACAATTCCGTCTTTTCACACTTGTTTCTTTTAAAGTTTAGTTTCACTTTTTTTCTTTGAAGAAAGGTTTAATTTTATTTTAGTCCTCTATGCTCTAAAAGTTTTAATTTCTCTTCCAAATATAAAACATAAATTTATTGCCGTATAAATATTTTTAACCTCGTTCTACTAGTTTTTTTTTTCTTTTTTGATATTAATTTTTAACATAAGAGAGAAGAGAAATTGTATTACTTTTTTAAAAAATATATGTAAAAAATTAGTAGTGAATTCCTGCCCATGTCTAATAGGAAATTATTTATTCTTTTTCTCTTTTATTATGGATTTTGAAGATTTAATACAACAATTTGGAAACAGGAGAATTAAACTTTCCACTTCAAAGTTGATATTAATCATTGCTTAACTATGTCCATATTGACTGAATTGTGAAAATTTGACTGGACAACAAATTAAAATTGCAACATTCAATCAAAATTATATGGTTAAATTGAAAATTTTTAAATCATCTAAGGCCATAATGAAACTTAATTAAACATATTTTTTTGGCACAACCATTTTGTTGACCATTGCCAGTGGGTGAGGTTCAAAATCTTTATATAAAGGCTCCACCTTTAACGCCAATCATATACTTCAAACTCCAAACTCCAAACTCTCTCTCTCTCTCTCTCTGTAACTTCAATACTCTCACAACTCCTCATGGTTTGCTTTTGTTTTCTCGTCGATCAGACCCGTCAGGTGCGGCGGAGCAAACCGGCCGCCGGATTTTGTTCCCG